TTGATGTAAATCGCATTGTACTATGTATTTAAAATCGGGCGCTATAGAGAGGGAGGCGCTATAGACAGTTTTAACTGTATATGCTTTTTTAATTATCTAAATATTAGGAATTGAAAGGTTAGTAATAGTATTAGTGTTAGGAAAAGAACTTTTTTTTATGTTTAGTAAGTAATATAGCCGGACTTCTTGAATTTGCTAATATAAAATCTAATGGGCAATAAATTACATGTGACATTTCAGTAACAACGATGCTGATGACTAATTTGATTGTGGCCATCTTACCTTATGTCTCTAATCTATAATTATAATTGTACCTTATTACAACAACACCTGGCCTATGTAACAATGGTGATGTGTGGGTTTTGCAACAATAGTAAGTGATCCATAAAACAATAATAAAGAAACAGACACACATATATGTAACAATTCCTACGAATAGCATATGCAATGATACAATTCTAATGAGAGGTCTATTCACAACAATGACAAATAAATGGCAGGTGCAACAATGAATGTGGCAAACATAACCGTTCAAATATGGAGGTTATGCAACAATGGCAAGTGAGTGATCTATGGAAAAATGACAAATAAGTAGCCTATGCAACAATGGAAAAATAAGCCATCTATACCACAATAACAAATGAGACATTTATGTAATAATAAGAAGAATTAATCACCTTTACAACAACATAATCATTGCAACAACATCAAATGAATGACATATGCAACAATAACAAGTGTGGCATATGGAACAACAACAACAATAATAAGAGGGTGGCATATGCAATAGCAACAACAAGAGGGTGGCATATGCAACAACAAAAGGGGGGCATATGCAACAAAAACAAGAGAGTGTTGTATTCAACAACAGTCAGTGTGACATATGCAACAATAACGAAAGGATAGCATATTCAAAAACGAGTGGTTTATTCAACAACAACAAGTGAGGCGAATGCAATAACAACAACAAGAGGGTGGCATATGCAACAATAGCAACAAAGGGTGGCATATGCAATAACGATAACAAGAGGGTGGTATATGCAACAATAACAACAAAGGGTGGCATATGCAATAACGATAACAAGAGGGTGGCATATGCAATAACAATAACAAGAGGGTGGTATATGCAATAACAACAACAAGATAGTGGCATATATAACAATAACAACAGAGGGTGGCATATGCAATAGCAACAACAATATAGTGGCATAAGCAATAACAAAAACAAAAGGGCGGCATACACAACAACAATAATGAGGGTGGCATATACAACAATACCAATAAGTGTAGCATATGCAACAACAACGTGAACAACCAGGGGGTGGCATATGCAACAATAACAATAAGTGTGGCATATGCAACAACAATGCCAACAACAACCAGAGGGTGGCATATGCAACAACATTACTCACATTGCTCATCCTCAAAGCTCCACATCCACAAAACTGGACACAACACATCCTTCAAGTAATTTCATTCACACCAGAGTGATATCAAAAGTTGGGGTGCTGAAGATATTGCAATACATTGAACGTATGCTTCTATTTAAGGGGCATATTTTTGACATTATTTCTGTATTGCAATATTCACTACAAAATGTGCTCATTAAATAAAAAGTCATGATGAAACTTTTGCTTGAGAGTATATACTGATCTATAAAAAGAAAGGTCACCTCTTCTGTTAAAATTGACGCAAAAACTAAGCACCATTTATTGACCGTCTCTACAAACTAGAAGATTTGGATTGGTGACAAATTCAGAAGGAACAGTCACCTAGAGACCATGGTTTAAGGCTATGGCACTCATCAATCCAGGAGATCAGCAGGGGGATTCATGAGATCCTCAGAATTTGTCAAAGTGGTGTTTAGCTGGTAAAATGGCTAGTCCAATTCACATGGCTTTGTCAGTTTGCTAAGACTGTCATTAGATAATGTTTAGTTTTAGCATCAATTTTGATGAGAGATATAGTATTCCTTTTAATAAAAAAAGTTATCTTTTATCATAAAGGTCATTACAGATCTTGTTAGATTAATCCTGGTGCAAACATGTGAGGCTGCCCATCAACAATGGAAAGAGAATGTGATAATGGTGCTACCGACATGGAACTTAGAACCTACCCACCAACAATGATTGTGTCCATTTCTTATGTAGGCACACAAGCATTACTTCCCAACAGGTAGTCAAGGACTTATTTCCTCAAATATTTGAACAATGATACCAGCAAAATATCAATTTGTAGAGAAAACACGAGAGGCTGCCCATTAACAATGGAAAGAGAATGTAATAATGGTGCTACTGACATAGAGAGAGAGAGAGAGATCTACTCACTGTCAAATATTATGTCCATTTCTTAGGTAGACACACAAGCATTACTTCCCAACAGGTAGTCAAGGACTTATTTCCTCAAATATTTGAACAATGATACCAGCAAAATATCAATTTGTAGAGAAAACACGAGAGGCTGCCCATTAACAATGGAAAGAGAATGTAATAATGGTGCTACTGACACAGAGAGAGAGAGAGATATACTCACTGTCAAATATTATGTCCATTTCTTAGGTAGACACACAAGCATTACTTCCCAACAGGTAGTCAAGGACTTATTTCCTCAAATATTTGAACAATGATACCAGCAAAATATCAATTTGTAGAGAAAACACGAGAGGCTGCCCATTAACAATGGAAAGAGAATGTAATAATGGTGCTACTGACATAGAGAGAGAGAGAGAGATCTACTCACTGTCAAATATTATGTCCATTTCTTAGGTAGACACACAAGCATTACTTCCCAACAGGTAGTCAAGGACTTAATTCCTCAAATACTTTAACAATGCAACAGCAAAATATCGATTTGTTTTTTTTTATTCATGCTAGGAAAGGTTTGTTTCCTAGATCATATTATAATGACAGAAAGACGTCAATAAATATCATCCTACTATAGAGATAGATGATTGAAGAAAACGTTAATCCAAAAAAAAAAAAGTGAACTAAGATGTACTAAGTGTACAAGCATTAGCAATAATTTTTAAAATAACACATCATATATAGGTTTTTAACTTTTAATTAGACAATTTTAATTTATATTTAGACATTTTTCATTTTAATTTAGACACTTTCATTTTAATTTAGACACTTTCATTTTTATTTAGACATTTTCTATTTTAATTTAGGCATTTTTCATTTCAATTTAGACATTTTTCATTTCAATTTAGACATTTTTCATTTTAATTTAGACACATCGACTTTTCTATAAAAAGGCCATGTGTCTAAATTAAAATGAAAAATGTCTATATTAAAATTGAAAATGTCTAAATATAAATTAAAATTGTCTAATTAAAACCTATATCTCGTTCAATATTCATAGAACATTCTGTAGAAGAGAGAGAACTTATAAGTAATCTTTAAAATTGTATAAGAAGAACAATTGATTCAATATATACACAGTAAATAAAGTAAAATAAATATATAAGTGAAAAATATTCATTCCTGTGATCACATTGGCGACAATATACCGTCAAGTGTATCAATATGACGGATAAAAAATTATAGGTTAGGTCGTTTAAAAAAAAAAAAAGGAACTCTTTTTTTTTTTTTTCGCAGATGGCGAGTAGGGCTAGCGCGGAATACTATAAGCTGGGCATCGTGTTTTCACGAGATCTCATAAATGTGTAACCCACCGTAAAAAAATGGTTGCAACTGAATTATTTTTTATATTCAAATGTCAAATACAACTAAAAAAACAAATCTAATATTTTATCTTCTTTGAATGAGCAAATAGACAAACTTATCTCGTATAACCTTTCGACGTCATTTTTCCGATCGGGAGGATACGCCCCGCTATCGCCGTACATTTTTCTTTTTTCTACTATCTCTGAGGTGGTGACAGTACTAAATTCTTCGTGAATCCTTTATGGATCATATGAAACCGAAACCATGTGGTATCCACGTTCGGAATACAGTAAAACCTCGCTTCACGGCCTTTTGACTAAGATCAAAGTGGAGTATCTATGAAAAGAACAACACCTAGTTGCAGAGCTAAAGATTACTTTAGGGAGAGGTGACCTCTTACCAGAGAGCAGCTAATTACTATAAAAATGGTAATTTTGGAGATGGCAATTGTCTTTTGAAGAGAGGTGTCCTCCAATGGAGGTTCTACTGTATACGTCCTATCTGGTGTTGTGGCTTTGTTAACGACCCAAATCGGTTATGATTAGAAAGTTGGTCAACACAAATGGCGTATTTTTACTTCTGTTTGTACGGAAGGGGAGTCTTTTCTTTCCTTTGTTATAATTCTCAATCTCTATATAGAGTAGATAATGAGAGGCGCTGCCTAGTGATATGTGAAAAATCTCGATTTCAAGGCAACCAACCAGTAACCTAGGAACACATTGTAAATAGCTCAACTTGATCAACTTTCTCTCTCCACGATACTAATTATTACAGATAACTTCATTAAATCAACTTCCATCATTGCTTAACATACTGTAAATAACTGCATTGCGATTTATTCTATCTGCTTATGTTGTTGTTTATTTGTTTAATGTATATGTTTATTTAATGCTCTTTTTCTTAATTGTTTATTTTATTTTATAATTCTGTTACCTACTCTACTACAATATGAATTATTGTAAATAGTTTCACGCGCAATTATCCAGATCGGATATAGCGTGTCTTGTTTGCAACTGGTAATAAAATAAAGTAACCTAGGATTAAGCAACAAAAATTTCATCAAACAGTTTTTTTAAATATAAAAATTTGACTTAACAAATTGCGTGGGGGCGGGGGAGACAATGCACGAATTACGTCAGTTGGTGACAACAAAAGATTTCAATGGAGGGCAGCGGCGGCGAGATAAGCCGATAAACTATCTGACGGAAAGTTTTATGGGGCATTGTAGTAGAGCACCTGCTGGTGGGGAAATAACACACACCAGATACTGGACATATCTTAATTTACGGGGCTGCTAACCAGAATGGATGATCTTTTGAGCCCCAGAAAAACTTCCCTCGCAGAGAATCGAACCCGGGGACTTCTGGGTGAAAACCAGATATCCTAGCCAACTAGATCACGTGGGAAACACCAGATATATTACTTATTATATATACAGAGAAAAAAACACAGCCACATCAACCAATAGTTTAACTCCCGACATTTCAGTGAAGTTCCTGTCATTCTCTTCAGGGGATTGTTTACTTTGAATCCTGGTTCTACTTATATACATACTAGACGAATGACCCGGGCAACGCCCGTGTTTTACCCGATTGAATGTTTTTATTCAAATACTATTTGTTACAATTATAAATTGGAGCCGTGGATGTCACTCTTGTGAAACGTCCCGCTCCAAACTTTACATGTACATTAGGTCAGCTGGTATTACCCCTCATTTTCACCGCTAGAGGCGCGAGCGAATTGACTTTTTGTAAATATACATAATTATAAAGATAGAAGCTTCTATAGAAGATAATGATCATAATGATGATGCGCGCGCATCCGTGACAGCGATGAGGAATTGAGGAAAGACGGTCGTGACTATATATGTTGATACCATTTTCTGAAATACAGCGTCACGTATCTGCAATCTCCGCCTTTGCCGGTCCCAAGCCCGGATGAAAATGGAGGAGGGCGAGCAGTAACAAGCTCACTAAAAAACCTGGACTCAGCTGGCCAGGCTGATAGTACCGTGTAAGGGCTCCTAATCCATGAATACAGGATGAGCAGCGTTTGTACTCCATGTTAGGAGCAGCTGCACATGGCGTCTGTTCCTCATGTCAGAGGCGGCCATTTCTTTTGGAGCTAAGTCGGTCTGCCACTGAGTAGTGCTCCCAGTCTTAATTACAAAGGCAGACGCATTCTACTTCACCCAGTCATGATGGTTGTCAAAGCTTGATACCCTAATATGATTGAGTGGAGATAAGAAAGAAGAAGAAGACGTATCTGCATATATAACTTCGACTTATATAAGGGAACAAAGGTGTTGATAAGGAGAATTTACAGCCAAGAGTTAGGCAGAAAGATCAACCCCTATATCAGGATATACCTAAGATGACCGCAGCAGCATCGACCGAGTTGAACGACTACTGTGGATAAGGAAGGATAAGAGGGACCCTACCTACATCACTGTAATCCATCAACGAGGTCACCACCAACTTCTATAGTAAGAGATTTCAAAACACATTTTAACGAAGATATGCAATTTAATAAACGTTTTTAGCTCTTTAAAAATCCTATCTATTTAAAACGTCGATTTGAACGTTAATACCCCAAATTTGTAGAATTGTATTTGGAACTATGGGGGAACGGAATATCTTGTTATCAAATGTGATTTAGTGATAAATCTAAAGCAGCTTTATGGGGTATTTATTACTATGGTTTCCTCGACCGAATATTACAAGCAGACGGTACTAATGTTCTTTTAATAGGTAAAACACTCCGATAAATATATACACGCATGGACAAAACTTAAGGAAGTTGTATCTTTTAGCATCGGGATTCAGAAAATAACTCTGAAAGATATTACAGTGACCTTTATTGAAGATACACAAGATAACCAAGTGTGAACAACCTCTATCTCCTTTAAAAAAAAGGTGACAGTCGATATTAAAGACATTCCACTTCCTTAAGTTTTGTCCGTGAGTGAGTGCATTTAAGGGGATTATTAATTAGAAAACAAAGCGTACAGACATCCATCAATGATAAATCATAAAAATAAAGAGATACACATGACGACACTATTTACAATTATATACATTCAAGAAGTTTGGTTTCCCGACGTCGTAGATTCCTCCTTCAGATGCCGTCATCTCCCCTCGTCTCACGGAAGAACTCGTAGCTCTTTGTGGACGTGAGTGAGAGAAAGGTGATAGAAGATCGAATAAAAGAAGAGGAGCTCGGTCTTGAATTCTGCCTTTTTATTATCATAATTACCGCTTAAATTGCTGTAAAGCCCTTTAAAAAAAAAGTGTACACTCATGGACAAAACTTAAGGAAGTTGTACCTTTTACTATATATATCGGTATTCAGACAATAACTCTGAAAGATATTACAATGACTTTTATTGAAGACACACGAGATAACCCAAGTGGGAGCAAAATTTCCTGACTTTTCACCTCCTTAAGTTTTATCCATGAGTGTGTATATATGGGTTGGTAGAGGAAAGCAAGCGCAGACTCCTGGAAGGTATCCATAGATCGCCAACTACACGGGCTGTCCTGCAGTTTAAGAGTCAGCCTTATTTGTCTTAGTGAACCAGTTAATGGTGTGTCACCAGGCCAGTTTATGCCTTGGTAGATTCAATAGAGCAGTGTGTTGTTGAAAGAATACAGTACAAAGAATGTCCCTAGTACACGCGGTACAGGCCATGATAATCATGGTAGGTAGAAATTGGCGACTGCTTTTTACTGTAAATGCACCACATGTCTAAACATGTGAAAATCAGTTCGATACTTTTGCACTTATAAATATGCCAGAGTCCCGTTGCACTTGCACTTGCTGGCGGGGTTGAGCTTTTGCAAGAATCGGGGGCCATTGGAGCATTTTTTAAAATAATAATTTTAAAAAAGTACAAGGAGAATGTGACCGCCCGTTGTAGTTAAGTATTTATATAGAAGTCTGCAGTCATCGTCTCTCGACAATGTCGGGTCTGGTTGGATGACATGGGACATTTTTGGATCCAGATAAGATCGCAGCTATATCCTAATAAGAGGGTTGTAGTTTGGTTGCTTTGCTGAAGATTTTGTTGTTGTTGTTTCTTATCCCCTTGTGTAAAGATTACACGAATCCCATGAGTTCATGATCTAATGGAATGGGGTATAGGGGTGCAGCTTTCGTTGATCATGGCACCATGATCCAGGCACACTTTGGTGAAAGTCTGACTTTGCCTGTAGTTTGAGGCTGTTCCTAACATGGAAGCCTTTGCAGCACTCTAACATGAGTACGGACACAGCTCCTCCGTATTCCTGGAGTGGGACCCTTGTTGAGGACCATCAACCGGGTCAGTTGAACTCAGGATTTTTGAAGGGATTTTAAAGCTGAAGATTTTTGTTTAGAGACAATTAACATGATTGACATGCAAAAGTGCACAGTCTGTACTATTTTAAAAATGATATTAGATAAATACATACAGTAAAACCCCCATGAGAAGGACACTCCGGCTAGAGGACACCTCTCGACAAAAGACAGTTTTCATTGTCAAAATTATCATTTTTACTATTTAACAACTCTCCAGTAAGAGGACATCTATTCATAAAGGACACCTTTTCTATGCAATTAGGTGCCCTTTACAGAGAGGTTGTACTGTATAACCTATAACCTTAATATTTCTTCTTTCTCTTCCTAGGAATGCTGTAAAGAATTTTTTCAGGAGATGAAAAATCCTAATGAAAAAGACGTAGGTATGGAACTGGAGAATTGCCATTGGATCTCCAGCGACACATTTGTTCAGAGATAGCTAAGGGGTGGGTGAGTATGTTCTCAGGTGTGTAAACACGTGACTTTCTCAGGCCCTGTCACCTGTCTTAAGCGAACAATTCAGTGGACAGATATTGTTTTACACACGTTCAATGTGGTGGTACATGTACGAGTATCTAAAGAGACAAGGGTCACCTCTCCCGTCAAAATAGACGTCAAAACCAGACGCGTCAAAATTTTCATCTATATTTTAGCCATAGATTTTGCCAGCTAAACACCTCTTTGGCAGATTGTCAAGATTCCATTAGATCACGTGTGTATCTCATGGAATAAAGTCCGCCCTAAGCTGACGAGGGCCATTAGCCCGAAACCATGGTCTCTAGGTGGACGCTTCTCAGTTTGCCAAAGCTGGTGTTGTGGCTTTGTCACCGACCCGAGGCCGCTAGTTTGCGGTGACGGTCAATGGATGGCGTCTGGTCTAAAGGACACTTTGTCTCTGCAATTAGGTGTTGTCCTTTACAGGGAGGTTCTACTGTATATCTGGATTCAGACAATAACTCTGAAATATATTACAGGGACCATTATTGAAGACATACGAGAAAACCAAGTGTGAACAAAATTGTCTCTGTCTCCTATGACTCCTAGGTCGCCTCTCCCGTCAAAATAGACGTCAAAACTAGACGCCATTGGGTGTAAATAAACACCACTAACAAAACCAACCTTTGTTCAACAAATAATATATAGGTTGGGTACACATTCACTCGAGCAGAACCCGAGGGTGGGTCATTTACCCAGTTGAAAATAACGAGGGTTATTTTTAACCTTCTCGATCGAGTGGTGGCAAGCAAAAAAAAAAAGTCCAGGTAAACAAAGTTTTAATGGAAACTTTAATTTATCCAACCAGATGTCTGTTTCTCAGAGAAGTCACGGTTACATTGAGGGCATTGGAATAAGGTGTTGACAGGAAAAATTTAACTTTACATATATACAATTCATTTTTTTACGTCTTCTAATAATAAGGGTTCACTATTGATTAGCCTGACCCTCCCTTTTAATATATATAAAAAGGACGCCTCTCCCGTCAAAATAAACGAAAAAAACTAGACGCCATAGTTTTGATGTCTATTCAGACTGGAGAAATTTTTTTTATTTTTATAGGACATTTTCCTCCCGGCAAAAATTTCCATCTATATCCATAGATATGGCATAGCCACTTTGCCAGTTAAACACCTCTTTGGGAGATGGTGGAGATATCATTTGATCGCTTGTGGGATACCCTGGACTGACGAGAGTCATTAGCCCGAAACCATTGTCTCTAGGTGGGCACTTCTCAGTTTTCCAAAGATGGTGTTGTGGCTTTGTCAACGACCTGAGTCCGCTAGTTTGTGGCGAGTTCAATATAGGCCACGAGAGACGACTTTTATTATTGTTAGCAGGTTTTCTTTGAAGTTTCTTCTAGAAAGAACGAGCTGACTCAATTCGATTTATTTCAAACAACAAAAGATAATTACATTACGATTTAATGCGATTTAGTTGCATTTCAACACAAAAGAAAACAGAAGAAGAAGAACAACAACAAAAAGAATGATGATAAGTAACAAAAAAATTCTATGAATATGAATTATAATTAATTAATAAAATACAATAATAATAATAAAAAATAAAACCT